ATTACAAAAATAAGTAATAGTAAATATTTAATTATTATGAAAGAAAATAAAAAGGAATAAAAAATTAATTAAACCCTAATTCTACCAATTTTAGGTTTTTTTATTATGAAAATATTATAGTTAAACCTAATTTAATAACTAAAATTAATTAATGTAGTTTATTTGCAAAAATACTAAAATAAAATATTTATTATTTTTTTCATCTTTTCTGATTTTTTTATGTTTTTATATTTTTTATGAAAAATAATTAAATTAACAGAATTAATTAAGAAGAATAATAATTGAAAATAAAAAAAGAATAAAAAAGAAAAAGAAAAATATTGCAAACCTCAGGGGGGTGTTGTCCCCAATTGTGAGGTGAATCTTTAACAATTTGAGCCCAATACTTCAGGCCTTGTAGACTTTCTCCACTAGCGTGCATGGGCGTTGACTATGGTTCATCATGTTATTCAATTCTTGGCCTTCTGATCGTTCCATTGGGCACGTGGACAGCTTGATTTTGAGGGTGCATGATACCCCTTAGCGTTGAAACTGCACAAGAATATTATATGAAAAATATCATGAAAGGGGTGGGGACCTGGGATCGAACCCAGGTCCTGAATGTCAGCACACACATGCCTAATCAACCAAGCCAAACGCGCGTATTGTACCTTAAACAACAAACAATAAATATAAAATAAACAATGGTTAGTGGGGCCTCCGCGCGAAAAAATTCAAATAGGCCAATCATTGAGCGCCACAGGGGTCATCTTCTTCGTTGCCTTATTTTTTTTCTGAAACACAAACATTGGCAACGGTTTTACAAATGTTCTTTTAGGCCGGTTTCTGAAAAATAGCGATTAGCTCAGGATGCTTCATAAATTAGGCGCGATGGTCTCATTCTCTTTGTCCAAGTGCACTGAGTTGGATGGTCTAGGTTTCAAGCTCCAATTTTTCCATATCCAAAAACCCCTAATTCGAAAGCTGAAAAACCCTAACCTTCAACAATGGTGAAATCGCATATAGGTGATAAAAATGCAATTAAATTACATAGCTAGCATCAGGAGAGTCTCATTAGTACAAATCCATGAACAAAATGCAATGAGAATGCTGGGAATTTAAAATACGATTATAGAAAAAATATGAACAAGTTTGAGCTCTGTATACCGTTTCAAGGTGCGAGGGGCGTGAAAATCTATTCAGTTAGGATCAATGATGTCCTAGGAAGGTGATGGGGTGATTCTTTTGGCTTGAATCAAACTCTAACCCTGTTTTCAGTTTTCAAATTTTCAACCAAAAACTCAAGTTTTGTGCTTGGTCTGTAGCGCAGCTTCTAGGTCATGAGCATTAGGTCTTGCTTCCTTATATGTGTATGAATGATTAGGTCAAATAAAATTGGTCCAAAATCCATGAATTGATGAATATGATATTTGATTTTTAAACCATAATTTTCAAATCTTTTTCACATGCTTTTGCTACCAAATCATGACCAATTCAATTGATTCTTTCTATATTTGGTTAGGCACGAAATCTTGAGTATATTTTATGCATAAAAAGATTTAAAACCTAGGTTTAGCATTTTTCATGTATTTATTTTAATTTAAATGAATTATTAATAATAAAAATCCAAATAAATAAATAAAAATGAAGCAAGACTTCCCTTTGGGAAAAGTGGTCGTGCACATGCCTTGGATGATGAATTGTGGAAGAAAAAGAGGCCCATTAGCAATTTTAGGTCATTTGAATCAATGTTGACTTTTCAAAATATCCAAAAATTTCCCAACTTCCACAAGGCATAACTTGCTCAATTTTTAAGCTTTGCTCATGTTCTTGGACATTTTGGAAAGGTATTTGAGTCCTCTAACCAATGTCTTTGGTCCCATGTCTTATTGATTTACCAATCTCAAGTTATGGCCTTTGACTTAAAGTCCCTTTTTGTTGACTTTTGAAAATGACCTATAATGTTGAAATTGATAACTTTTTGTGAGAGCATTTCTTGGACTTGGAGTGTGAAGAGGAGTTGTTGGAAATGTCTTTCTATTCAAAATGAGCTTTGGATGGAATTTTTCTGATAATCCATGTGAAAGTTATGCGCTGGTCAATTTACAGTTGACTTTTTCAGCTGTCCAAATAAGGAAACTTTTGCATCTTGATGATTTTTGAGCTAAGCTTTGAGAATCATGATCAAGCATTGATCAAATGATGTTTGTGGCTTCAAAATGAGATGTTGACCAAAAATTTGAACTTTTGACTGTCAAATGACCATTTTGCCCCTACAGTTGACTGTAGTGCAATTAGGGTTTTGACTGTGCAATTTTGTGCTGAAAGTCTTGAAACTTTGTATGAGGATGCTTGACCATATTTGTAGGCATGTGGGGCTTGATTGAACCCTTGGAAACTTCATTTTCTGGATCAGAACCAAAACCCTAATTTGACTGTTTAGGATACCCCTGCACTGTGCAACCCTTGGAGAATTTTACAGCTTGACTTGGCAATTTCTTTGAAGAATATGGGAGGGCAAATTTTGGGGTACAACAGTAAGGGTTTGGGGTTTATGGTTTACGGCTTAGGGTTTAGGGTTTGGGGTTTATGGTTTAAGATTTAGGGTTTAGGGTTTAGGTTTAGGGTTTATGGGAGTTTTAGGGTTTTGTGGATTTGGGTTTAGGATTTTAGGGTTTAGGCTTTAGGGTTTATGGTTTTTGGTTTATGGTTTAGGGTTTAGGGTTAGCGTTTAGGGTTTATGGTTAGGGTTTAGGGTTTAGTGTTTAGGGTTTATGGTTTAGGGTTTAGGGTTTATGGTTTAGCTTTAGGGTTTAGTATTTAGGGTTTAGGGTTAATGGTTTAGGGAATAGGGTTTAGGGTTTAGGGTTTAAGGTTTAGGGTTAAGTATTTAGGGTTTAGGGTTTTAGGGTCTAAAATTTAGGATTTAGGATGTAGGGTTTAAGCTTTAAGGGTTAGGGTTTATGGTTTAGGGTTTAGGGTTTAAAGGTTTAGGGATAAGGGTTTGGGGTTTATGGTTTAAGGCTTAGGGTATAGGGTTTGGGGTTTATGGTTTAATGTTTAGGGTTTAGGGTTTAGGGTTTATAGGAGTTTTAGGGTTTTATGGATTTGGGTTTAGGATTTTAGGATTTAGAGTTTAGGTTTATGGTTTAGGGTTTGGGGTTTAGTGTTTAGGGTATAGGGTTTAGGGTTTCGGGTTAGGTTTTAGGTTTAAGGTTTATGGTTTAGAGTATAGGCTTTATGGGACAGGGCTTAGGGTTTATGGTTTTAGGGTTATAGGGTTTTAGGTTTTGGGTTTTAAGGTTTAGTGTTTAGGGTTTGGGGTTTAGGGTTTAAGGTTTAGTGTTTAGTATTTAGGGTTAGGGTTCAGGATTTAGGATTTATGGTCTAGGGTTTAGGGTCTACACTTTAGGGGTTAGGGTTTAGGGTTTAGGGTTTATGGTTTATGGTTTAGTGTTTAGGGTTAGAGGGTTTTGGGTTTAGGTTTAGGATTTAAGGTTTAGGGTTTAGGTTTAGGGATTAGGGTTTATGGTTTAGGGTTTAGGGTTTAGGTTTAGGGTTTAGTATTTAGGGTTTAGGGTTAATGGTTTAGGGATTAGGGTTTAGGGTTTATGGTTTAAGATTTAGGGTTTAGTATTTAGGGTTTAGGGTTTTAGGGTCTAGAATTTAGGATTTAGGATCCATGGTTTAAGCTTTAGGGGTTAGGGTTTATTGTTTAGGATTTAGGGTTGAAAGGTTTAGGGATAAGGGTTTGGGGTTTATGGTTTACGACTTAGGGTTTAGGGTTTATGGTTTAAGATGTAGGGTTTAGGGTTTAGGTTTAGGGTTTATGGGAGTTTTAGGGATTTATGGATTTGGGTTTAGGATTTTAGGGTTTAGGATTTAGGGGTTAGGGTTTAGGGTTTAGGGTTTAGGGGTTAGGGTTTATGGTTTAGTGTTTAGGGTTAGAGGGTTTTGGGTTTACGTTTAGGGTTTAAGGTTTAGGGTTTATGGATTAGGATTAGGGATTAGGGTTTAGGGTTTAGGGTTTAGCGTTTAGGGTTAAGAGTTTAGGTTTAGGGTTTAGTATTTAGGGTTTAGGGTTAATGGTTTAGGGATTAGGGTTTAGGGTTTAAGATTTAGGGTTTAGTATTTAGGGTTTAGGGTTTTAGGGTCTAGAATTTAGTATTTAGGATCCAGGGTTTAAGCTTTAGGGGTTAGGGTTTATTGTTTAGGGTTTAGGGTTGAAAGGTTTAGGGATAAAGGTTTGGGGTTTATGGTTTACGGCTTAGGGTTTAGGGTTTTGGGTTTATGGTTTAAGATTTAGGGTTTAGGGTTTAGGGTTTAGGTTTAGGGTTTATGGGAGTTTTAGGGTTTTATGGATTTGGGTTTAGGATTTTAGGGTTTAGGATTTAGGTTTTATGGTTTAGGGTTTAGGGTTAGCGTTTAGGGTTTAGGGTTTATGGTTAGACCGACCATGGATATGTATCTTTTTATCTCTTTCTTACGTATTCGATACCGACCACGGATATGTATCTTTTCTATCTCTTTCTTACGTGTCCGATACCGACCACGAATATGTATTTTTGATGTCTCTTTCTTGCGTATCCGCTACCAACCCCAGATATGTGTCTCTGATACTTTTTTTTGTATGTGTGCTACAAACTTCAGGCATATATCTTTCTTACAGGCGTTTGTTACTAAATCCCAACAGAAGTTCCTCGATAACCAGGTTATCCTTCGGTGTGTCAAACTCTGGTTAAACATACATCTAACCCTGATAATCCTTTTTACCTAAAAAAAATACAGAAAACCAAAGATATAATAAAACCTGACTGACTCCGGAGCGCAAATTTTCGGGTTCTTTTAGTATTTAATCTTCCTCCACCCTGAAAGTTCGAAAGGCTGACGCCAATCTCACCTTCAGGTTGAAGACGATTAAATAGGGGCAGCAGTTGCACCCCAAAATTTGCCCTCCTAATTTCTTTTATTTTGGCTTAGACTTTTGCATTCATCTGCATCTATTTCATTAGGTCATTAACATGGCATACATTGCATTCAATAAAGCGCTTGAGGTATTTGCAGATGAACTTTTAAGACATCAATCATTGAGAAGGTATCTTATGACTGCTGATTCAGTATCTTCCGACTGTGAAAAGACTTTTGTGTGCCAATTTTCTTCTGGAGATATTGCTGCTGTCTTGGAGGTGATATCTACGCATGTTATCCTGTCATTTTCTAATGAGAAAGCATTTGAGAATTTCATCAGTATATTATGTTTGCATTGGAACGGAGATTTTAGATTTCATGAACTTGGAATTGCCAGTGCCATGGCGTTGCTGCTTGACCCTGTTGTGTATTCTACGACAAAGATGTTCCAGGCACATGTAATTTCATTGGTTTCTGAAGTCATTGATTCTGGCTTATCTTCGGGGAATTTGACTCTAGATATAAGCTACTACTTAGCGGCATTTCAAAAATCTGTTAGCTTGTACTCTAAGCATGTGTCTAGCTTGCAAATGGTTAGTTTTTGCATCGAATTGAGTTGTGCCTATAATAGAACCATGTTTGAGAGAGGTGTTCCAATTTTTGAATCTTATATTCAGGAAGGAACACACACCAAATTAAGTCAAGTCTTATCAAAATCAAATAGTTCATTGGACTCTTACGGTTGCAAAATGTCATCTAAAACAAAAGCTGACCTTTTGACTGAGTACATAGAATATATGAAAGGGAGACAATACATATTTACTGATTCATGCCGGGGTAAGGCTGCCTCAACCTTATATTACATAATCCATCAAGCTTTCTCTCAAGATTCTGCTGGAGATTTATTGTATTTAAAGAAAAACACTAGTGCTGAAGATATTTATCTTCTTGCATCCATATTGAAGTTAATGAGTGTTTCACTGCTACAAGCAATTAAATGTCTAAGTAAGAGTGGTGATCCAGGTTGTCTGAAAACCACAGGAAGTTCCTCTGTGCATGATGAATATGATTTCTTGAACAGCATCATCAACCCTTTTCAACAATTTAAGTTTTGTTTACCCATTCAGACCTTGCTGCACAATATGTTGAAAAATCAGCAAACAAATTACCAAGTCTCTAAATTAATGTTTGTGCACTTTTCAGGCTTGTTATCTCTAAGTTTTTACAATGGTTTTGATGTGTTAGCAAAAGGATGGATCTTTGATTACCCAACTGAAAGAGGGAGGGAAACCTTGTACAAGTATCCACAAAATCATTGTCTACGCACACTTCAAGGGGCATGCAGGCTGCATATTAAAAAAATTTTGAATGGACTAATTCAGATCATGTCGATGGTGATGCTCTCTTGCTGAGTGCGTGCCAATTGCTGCAAGAAGAGCCTGAATTACAAACTATAGATGATTCATCACAAACTGCAAAGATAAACCGTAAAGGCATTAGAAGTTTCAGCCGAGTAAAGAGAAATCTACATTTCACATATGATGAGGAAGCTAGCATCTTCAGATGAACATTCCAAAACTACTTCAAGAAAAATCTCATTACATCTGTCTAGGCATAGCAAAAGGCTCATTCTCGAGAGGAAACTCCTACCTCATCCACCTGTTAGGCCCTGCATAGAAGGTTGGAAAGTACAAAATTAGTTTAACAGCTCAGCTCAACAGCTTGGTAACTAAACTTCTAACCAAAACAATCCACAATCAGAACCAAAACTAACAAGCCAATGACATAACCTTCAGCTTGCCAACTAACTATTCTTAACAGATTTTCTAACTTCTAACTTTCTCTCTAACAATTAAACTACTAACTGCAAACAGAATTAACAGAATTTTTAACTGCATCCTAACTGTCATAACTATCCGCTAACCATTCTATAACAAACTGCTAGCAGAAAAAAATATAACTAACAGATTTGTTCAATCCTTCCGAACCCCTTTTTTAACAGAACTGGTAGCAACCCGTAACAAACTCTAAACATAATTCCCCAACGAACCAATAACCGAACTGGAACTAAATGTTAACTAACTCCATAACCCCTAACCACCTCTCCATATAACTAACTCTAAAAAACAAAAAAAGAAGTTTATAAAAGCTCCCTCCAACTCTCTCATCAGATATACATAATCAGGTTCATTATTCAGGGAACACACAGAAAATTTCTCAAGAAAATTCAGAAAAGTTAGAGAAAAATTTACCTCTTTCATGAATCATTCTTCAACACCCTGAAGAATCACCAAAAAAAATTATCTTCTCCTCTCATCTTCACCTCATTCTTTAATTTCTTTGGAGAATCACCAAAATCAATCTCTGAAAACTCTCTCTCGCCCTTTGAATTTCATCTTCACCGAGCCTTCAAGCATCACCTTCCTCTGCATCTTCTCAACCATTTTTCTGAACCACCATTTTCCACATTCCCCTATTCACTCGTCATCACCATTCACCTTCACGCCATAACCGCAACTCATCTACATTATCAAGAATCCCTCATATCAAACTTTATCTTCCTCCTTTCACAACCACCATTGACTCATTCTTCACCCAACTTCTGTCACTCTTCAACCTCACCTTCTGCAAACCAAAGATCAATTGCAACACTGATTCATGAATCTGTAACACACGTAAAACACAGAAAACACAATAACACAGTAGAAGAAGAAAAAGATGAAGTAGAAGAAGCAGAGATCAAACAAAGACGGAAGCCGAAGAAAACGCAAGAATACAAAGAAGAGAAAGGGAATGGGAAGAATCAAGCTCACAATAGACTGAAGGAGCTCCTTGGAGTTCGACATTGGCGCCGCTGTCGAAGTAAGCGTTTCGCCATCTTCTTGATACAGACATGTAGTTCTCATTCTCCCTGGCTCTTCTCCCATGGTTTTAGCTCGAATGGAGTAATTTGTGTCGTTCAATTGAAACTTCGAGACTACTAGGGTTTCCGATTTAGAGTGACGTTGCTAGATATTGGAAGAATCTGAAGCTAGGTTCGTATGCGGGGTTCAATGTGGATGAGGATTCCAGGGTTGAAATAACACTGGCGGATCACTTATACTTGCCAGAGGATGAGACGCGCCGTTTCGCAAGGAGGAAACAACGCCAAGAGGTCGAAGAAACAAACGGAGACTACCAATCAAAAACCGAAAATGCGATGAGGTTGATCGGAAGATGACGTTGGTGGCGTGAAAGACCATCCCTTAATGCGGAGCAATGAAACGAAGATGGGGAAGAAGTGTTGGCGACACTGTTGTTCACGGAAGAGAGGAAGAAGAATTAATTTTAGATGAGGAGCCACAATAATTCTGAATCCTAGGTCATGTTTTTTTCTAATATTATATTTATTCTTATTATCATAATTTCAATAGCAATCAAGTGAAAAATGTTGATGATGGCTCAAATAGCAAGGCTGTTGAAATTGGAAAAGTATGGACCGAAGTTTAATGATCCCAGGCCCATAAAAGGAAATTTTTGGGCAGCTTTTGAATTGTGAGTAACAAAAAAAAACGCTTATGGGCTTTTCAGCATGGGCTAGCGTTATTCACACTACTGTTCCAGTTCTCACCCTCTCTACCGGGCCTGTGTCCTGTTTTGGGCAGCATTTTTATTGAGAACAAAAATGGCTGATTGAATCTCTATTAGTCAGGCCTTAGCGCCAATATTCTATTATACCCCCAGATTCCAGCATACACCCCCTGAACCTTCTAACTTCTTTTCTTATTTTAGTTTTTTCTTTTAGCTAAATTTTTCTCTTAATTGATAATAAAAATGATACAAAAATATTAGAACATTTTAGAATTATTTAGGACCTCTCTTTATTTATTAGAGTTTTTATTTTCATATTTGTTAATCATTTTTGTTGTCATTTTTAGATAAGGTTTTGTGATAGAATATTGATGCAACTTTTGCAATATGGAATGCTCGGGGTTAAGTCTTCCATCACTCGTTCAAGGAAACTTTGGTAGAATTTTCTTACCGCTTGCACGGTTTCGAAGAGGCAACGGACCTTCTCCGTTCGGTATCGTCACAACCTTATTTTATCCTTCATTTCCATGTGCATGCTAATATTAGGAAGATGTTTCCCTTTCATTCATCCTTGACATAGGGCTATTAACGCATGATAAAATTAGGTTTAGAAATAGACTAGTCTCCCTGTGACTTTTCTTTCCCTTTTTGCCTACGCATCTAAAGCTAAAACTCTTTTTTTCAAACTTCAAAAATACATAGAAATTTACTGACAAGAATCATGTCTTTGCTAAGTTTGGGAGTTGATAAGCGGGTTTCTTCTCAGTCTTATTGTTCTCCTATTCTAAGCTTTTGTGTGGTTCAAGTCTCAAAGACTTATTTCATGAATAGGTAGAGAAATGGCTAAAATCTCTCCCTTGAGGTCAACTAGTTGTTATCTACAAGCAAAAATATCAACCAATACAAACTCTTTTTTGCCTTTGGGCCTTCCTTGCAAAATTCTTTTCAGATAGAACATATTAATTCACTTCTGTGCTGACGCGTAAGTCTCCAACGGTCGAGTTGCGGCAGAAGGAGAAATTAATATCGTTCATTACAAAAACAAACAAATTCAACCTCTTTTGTGCGTCCAGGCACATTTCTTTCCAAACTTTTCAAGAGAGCATGTTAATTCACTTCTGTGCTGACGCGTATGTCTCCAAAGGTCGAGTTGCGGCAGAAGGCGAAATTAATGTTGTTCATTAAAAAATACAAACCGATAAAAACATATAAGCCGAACTACGACTGCTCGGATTCCTTAAAAGGGATACGTAGGCATTGGGGTAGGGCCCGAGCGAGCACAATTTTATTTTCCCTACATTCTTTTCCCTTTCTTTTGCATGCATTTTCCCTTAGCAGTAATAGACAGTAAGCATAGATTAAACACACCCATAAGATAGATAACAAGAGTGGATACCGTAGAGTACTACGGGCGTGTGGGGTGCTAATACCTTCCCCTCGCGTAACAGACTCCCTTACCCTTATCTCTTGGTCGTTCGACCTCGATTTCACCCTTCTCAGGTTTACTCGATGTTTACCTTTCCCTTCCCGTGGGATAAAAGACGTTCGATGGCGACTTCATTGTTTGATGATTTTCAGCCGGTTGTTTCAGCTGGCGACTTCACTGGGGATAGGTCGACCAAATGCTGGTCCATCCAGGAGTCGCTCCTAGCTCTTGCTTTCTTTTCTTTGGGTGTTTATTTTTATGCTTTCAGTTTACTCATTTGTACATTTTTGCCTGAGCATAAGTTTGCATTGCATTTTATTGCTTTCCCTATTTGTTATCTATTATGCTGGACTCTGTTTTCCATGTTAGGTGGGGATGTCACTATTGAGGTAAAAGGCCCAGTACCCAGGCCAGAGTGCACTAGGACACTAGGAATAGAGTGGGGGCATGACGGCTATAGGAAGTGGTCTGATTAGTGCAGTCTTGTCATATACCATGCTCAGATGAGGTTCAAATGAATTACTATCGGCACCCACGTCTGTGGGTAAGCCCATAGCACTTTCAGGAGGACCCGTGATTTTCGAGTTACCATTGTCTTACCCTGACCTAGTCTTCACCCGTGAGTGGGGAGGGATTTTTCATTACAGGTACAGTTGGTGCTATGTTCAAATGGTTACTCATGCTCAGATGGAGACTGTGATCAGATGGTGATTAGTGGTTCTATTGATCATCTAATGGACTTCTGTCAATGACTTATGCATATGGTGTTCTGTTGGTGACCATATGGTTCTCACATTTATTTTCTGAGTTCCTGACTTGCTTACTTGGAAGTTCATTCAAGCCTTTTATCTTGGCATTCCCAGCATACTCAGAAATGCTCAAACAGTACCTGATGTTCCTGAAGCCTTGATCTCACGCTACTTAGATCTACATAGTACTCGGCTTTTATATGTGCGGAAGCTATGTCGGACCTTTGATTTGATGATATTCATATGGTTCAGAATAACGCAGCAATCATATTTGGAAATGATGGAACCTTGATCCCATTTGATCTCATATCTGTGCATACATAACATGGTTAACCAAATACTTAATATACATGTTCTGTGATTTCCAAGGAATCGTATTTGTGAGCCTAGTGCCAAACTTTTCCATCTTTTACTTACGTAAAATCAAAGCACGTAAATTCCTTGGGAATGAAGGGACATAACATGGCATCTATTCATGCACTCCATGTATATTCATGCATCCATAACAGGTACTCAAAGATTGGGGATTCTTATTCAGACATGGTTCTCCTTGGAGGTTTAACTTTGATTTATTACTTCACTTGTTCAGGGATCGGTTATGGAATAGCTCTGAGTGATATACATGCAAGCTTTGGCCCGTAGTCAGAAATTTCTTCGAACAAGAAGATAATTGATTAAAGACTCAAAATGAACCAGGTCATGGAAGCTCTAATGATGATCAATAAACTTATGGTTGCAGCAAGTTCTCTCTTCACCTCATCATCTTTTGGGAATTGCTTCCAACCATGGAGTGCTATGCAATCCTGAGAACATCTTATCAGG